GAAAAGGGTCATGCGTTCCGTGGAGTTAATATTCTCTCCCCGCAGCACAGTGTTAAGGCTCCCCGTTGCCCACAGGTGAAGTCTACACAGCTGCCAAGGCTTAGAGGAGACATCCATGCTCAGGAGAAATTATACAAGCCTCGGAAAAATCCTCCTACCCCCCAGGTGAAGTTGGAAAGCGCTGAGTCAGGTATAGGAAAAAGGGAAGGTATTAAGTTTGATGTACCCTATGATCCTATTAACGAGACCCTCTTTGGCTACTCAGCGCAGCAGAAACCACTACTCCTCGAGGTGTTATGCAATGGGCGACGCCTCCAGGCACTGGTGGACAGCGGTGCATCTCACTCGGTGTGTGACCGCGGAGCATTGGAGAAAATTGGAGAGAAGGCGGAAGAGACCCAGTTTTCAGCAACCATGGTGGACGGTACGAAGCTTCCTATCCACGGTGAAGCATCACTGCAGCTGCATATAGGTGCGTTGAGGTGGAAGCCGAAGCTACCAGTCACCAACATCAAAGGATTGGATTTTATCTTGGGGCGAGATTTTCTGAAGCGGTTCAACCCCGAGATCGATTGGGTCAACAGCAAGGTGTGCATCTACAACAACGGAAAGCGGATAGCACTGCGAAGCTGGACGGATACAGGGGACGTACCTGAAACGACACTGGCACGGTTCGAACAGACGGTGAACGAGAGTAACACGGGTTACCTAGCACTGGTCATGGCAGCAGCAGAGGAGGAGAAGCCGAGTTCCGAGCTCCCTGCAGTAGTAAAGGAGGTCTTGGAGCAATACAAGGATATAATGCCCGACGACCTACCTGCAGGCGTACCTCCAGCACGCACCCACGAGCATGAGATCGTGGAGGAACCAGGTGCGAAACCCGTCTCACGTGCACCATACCGACTGAGTCCGACAGAACCGACAGACATGAAGAAACAGATAGAATATCTACTGGACAGACAACTGATCCACCCATCCACCTCTCCCTACGGTGCACCAGTTCTCTTCACTCCAAAACCAGACGGCAGTTTACGGATGTGCATCGACTACCGCGCACTGAACAAACAGACAGTTAAAAACAAATATCCCATTCCGCGCATCGACGACTTACTGGACCAACTGCGTGGTGCAACAGTCTTCTCGAAGCTGGACCTACGGTCGGGTTACTGGCAGATCAAGATGGCAGACAACTCGATCCACAAGACGGCGTTCCGTACCAGATACGGCTCCTACGAATACTTGGTGATGCCGTTCGGACTCTGCAACGCACCAGCAACGTTTCAGGCGGAGATGAATCACATCTTACGACCCCTGCTGGACGAGTGCGTGGTGGTGTACCTGGACGACATTCTCATCTACTCCAAGAACATGAAGGAGCACGTGGAGCATCTACGGAAGGTGTTTGAGATCCTGCGGAAAAACAAGTTCTACGTGAAGCTGTCGAAGAGCAACTTCGCCCTGAAGAAGGTGCAGTTTCTCGGGCACATGGTGAGTGCCGAGGGCGTACACGTGGACCCGCGGAAGATCGAAGCCGTCAAGAAGTGGAAAGTACCGGAGAACGTGAAAGAGTTGCAGCAGTTCCTAGGCTTCGCCAACTACTACAACAGGTTTGTGCCGCAGTACGCTAAGATAGCAGCGCCACTGACCGACCTACTGAAAAAGGATACACCCTACAAGTGGGATACTCCTCACCAGCAAGCCATGGAGCAGCTACAGACAGCACTGACTACAGCGCCAGTACTCATCCTACCAGACCCAGACAAAGACTACGTGGTGGAAGCAGATGCGAGTGACCAGGCAGTCGGAGCAGTATTGATGCAGGATCACGGACGCGGTTTACAGCCTATCGCCTACCTCAGTAAGAAGCTACACGGAGCAGAACTGAACTACCCCATTCACGACAAGGAAGCCTTAGCGATAATCATAGCCTTCAAGGCGTGGAGGTGTTACCTAGAGGGAGCCAAGACTACAGTCTATACTGACCACTGCAGTCTCAAATACCTGAAGTCGCAGCCGACGCTCTCACGACGACAGGTGCGGTGGGTGGACTTCCTGGAAACTCACTTCCACTACGACATCGTCTACAAGCCCGGGCTACACAACAAAGCAGACGCATTGAGCCGCCCCGGACATGTAGCAGGCATCCAGCTCGACGGGATGAACCCTCTGCTCAAGGGTCTATTCCAACATGGGTACTCCGTGGACGCAGAAATCACTACAGCACAGACCAAGAAGCTGTTACAGTGGGAGAAAGTCCTAGCGGTAAGGAAGGGTTCAGGAAAGATTTGGGTACCGAATTACGGCCCGCTACGGCAGATCCTATTGGAGGAGTTTCACGACGTACCTTACGCGGGACATTTCGGGAGCAACAAGACGTTAGCAGGGATAGCGAAGTATTACTACTGGCCCGGGATGGCAGCAGACGTGCAGCAGTTCGTCACCTCTTGCGACACGTGCCAGTGAATGAAGAGCAGCAAGCAGAAAAAAGCAGGGTTACTTCAGCCTCTACCCGTACCGGAGCAGCCATGGCAGGTCGTTAGCCTCGACTTTATCACAGGACTTCCTTCGACCTCACGGGGGCACGATTCCATCCTCGTAGTCATCGATAAGTTCTCCAAAATGGGTCACTTCATACCGACCAACGCCACAGCTACAGCTGAAGCAACTGCTCGCCTCTTCTTCGACCGCATCATCACCATCCACGGCATCCCCGCTACACTCATCTCAGACAGAGACCCAAAATTCACCAGTAAGTTCTGGAAGGAGCTCATGGGATTATTGGGTACCAAACTTGCGATGTCCTCAGCATACCACCCACAGACTGACGGACAGACAGAGCGACTCAATCAAGTGGTTGAACAGTTACTGCGCACAGCTTGCAAGGACGACGTCAGCCACTGGGACACACAGTTACCGACCCTAGAGTTCGCTTACAACAACGCATCACATGCGGCCACAGGGAAAAATCCTTTCTTCCTGTGTTACGGACGGGAACCACTCACACCACAGCAGCCAACCACACCGGCACACGTCCAAGCCGCACATGACTTTGTCACCACCATGCAGCAGCTATGGGAGAAGACTCAGCGACGTCTCACCACGATGCAGAACTCCCAGAAGCAGTATGCCGATCGTCAGCAACGAGATCACTCAGTAGCAGTCGGAGATCAGGTGCTTCTTGACACACGCAACTTGAACCTGTCTCACCTCCCATCCAAACTCCGGCCTCGCTTCTGTGGTCCTTTTCTCGTTGAGGCACAGGTGACACCAGTTACATTCCGCTTGCGCTTACCTACTACTTGGAAGCTTCACAATGCTTTCCATGTGCAGCTACTGAAACCCTACAAGGACCCCAACCAACAGTTCCAGGGACGGCAGCTACCGCCACCTCCACCTGTTCTTGTGCAGGATGAACCCGAGTACGAGATTGAGCGCGTTCTCTCTCATCGGCGCCGCGGCGGCAAGACCCTCGAGTTCCTGATACGCTGGAAGGGATACGACCCCACTGAGGACAGTTGGGTTACAGAAGCTGATATGGGCAACGCACGCCGTGCTCTCAAGGACTATCTTGTCAAGCAGGGTGTATCTCACGCCACCCAGCTTTGAAGGGGGGACGTGTGAGAGTACGACGGCTTATGCCAGCTATGCTTGCTTGCCTTTACTTTATCATGCTATTTCTAGCGTAGGATAATCATATGCATGCATGAATTGCTTGATTTCCTAGGCTAGGTGCTTTCCTATATTTTATTATAGTTATAGCACCGAGCTAGGTTGCGTGCACCGAATTCTGGCCTTTTCGGTTGCCACCGAATTGCCTTCTACCGAATTCGGTAAGGATCTGTTCGGGACGCTACGCGACCCGCGGAACCTTCGCGTAACACCTGGTTACGGGGCCTTGTGTCGAGCCTATATATAGCCTCGTGTTGTACCCAGGTGATCATTCAATTCGACTCAATTCTCATTCTCTTTTCTGAGCTCGATCCTAGATCCTCACAGTGAACAACTTTTGTGGGCGGCATATTTGGAAGCCGTTGCGTGCGAAGGAGAGGGTAGACCAAATACCCCACCGGCATCCAGGCTTAAAAACAACGATGGCAGCTTTCTCTCCGTTGCTCCAACGGTGTCGATACCCGAAGTTAGTGTGGTTGGCGACGCGGATACACCATCCGACGGCGCTAACGCCGAGTCTACAGAAGGCAGCGATAGGACGGAGATTTTTGATACACTGACAGAGTTGTACCTGTTTTTCCGTGACGCCGATCTATCGCACCGGGAAGTTAACCGTCTGCTACACATTTTCCGCAACCCTCGCTTCAACCTAAGGGCTCTCAGACGATGGCGCAACTGGGTGGATGTGCGCCGCTGGGGCATGGCGCGAGCTCCAGCCGACATGGTCCCGTGGAAAACGGAGGAGATAGTGGTGAGGGGTCCCAAAGGACTGCAAATGAAGCTGCTACTGCACTTCCGCGACACCGAGTTGGTACGTGATGGGAGGCCAACCTGGAGGCGATGTCGAGGTGACGTGTAGATGAAGTTGGCCCGCATCATGTTCTCACCCACGTTTTTGCGCTACGCACACAGATCTTGAAGAAGCTGGTGCGGACGTTCTCATCCAAAAAGGGGTTTCGTATGGAAGCCGAGGAAGATATATCGGAAGAAGAACAACGAGAGGGTATTTGAAGGACCGGAGACAGGTGATTGGATGCACTCTGCTCAGGTACGCACATGTTTGTTGTCCAATTGTCATATGTCGTGCATACTGGTACCTGCACGAGGTGTCACAACGCTCACCGGCCCGTGCGCTCTACATGGCAGAAGGAGATTAACGACGACCAGGCACTCGTACTAGGCGTGCTGATATACAGCGATAGCACGCAGGCATCACGGAATGGTCGAAGGAACGCGTGGCGTGTGCTGATATCACTTGTCAACATACCCGAAGAATTGCGAGGAGTGGAGCCCGGGCACACATTGGCGGCGGTGCTTCCATTCCCGCCTGAATGGGCGTCGCCCACGGAGAACACGCGCGTGTTCCAGGAGGCGCTGAAGATAATACTCGTGCCCATCATGCGAGAGTCCGCCAGGTACTGGGAGGGGATGGGGGTGGGGATGATAACGATACACAGGTGGGGAAGGGGGGCCACCCCAGTTAGTAGCCACCCTATTGGGAGATATGCATACGATCCATCACTAAGTGAACACTATGTGTGCATTGCGGCACTATGCAGCGCGCCAGTACGCTTCTTCTACTGCACAGACGCGGACGGGAAGGTGCACAAGGCGGTCCCTTGCCTGTACGGATACCCTGCCGACTTCCCGGAATCCAGCAGAGCCTCCGCAACTCTGCAGCAAGGATCGCATCGGCCATGCGCTAACTGCTATGCTGTGAAGGGGGAGTTGACCATGATGGTGGGGAAGTGTGATCCACGGACCCCCGATCAGCAGAGGGACATTGTTCGTCAAATCTTGGCGTGCAAGAAGAAGGGCGAGGCAGACGATGTGCGGAAGTTATGGTCAACCCATCCGATCGAGGTGTGTTTGCTGGTGCGCGGTTTGGTGGTGCGTAATGAATGGGGGCTGGATATCATGTGGACTGTTTGACAACACTGTGTCGTCTGTGGGATGGTTGCAGTGCGTGCTTCAAAGGTGGAATTTCGCAGACACAGAGTGGGGAAACGTGTACCTGGCATGCCTAGCAGACACACTGCACGTGCTGGACTCCGGTGTGCTGATCCACATGATGGACTCCTACATCGAACCCCTTGGAAAGGTTGAGATGCGGCTGCTAGAAAGGTGAGTTAGGTGTAGTCGGGTGTGAGAGCGGTAGCCAACTATATTCTGCAGGGATTTAGGTGGGGTCTAGGCCCCCATGTGTGTCAGCGGATGACGACATCGTACTATGTATGTGCGCAGCCGCAAGAAGGAGTTCAAGCGTTTCACTCCAAGCGTTCTCCTCCGTATCCCTGGGGGATCATCGTTCTTCAGTTCTGGCGCAAACTACGCGGCGTTCGAGCACAGGAGCATGATGCAGATAATGCCGATACTGGTGGCAGACGAGAGTGCATTGAAGGATGGACCGGAGGGAGAGCTGCGTGCTTTGCAGGTCAAGGCGTTCCGGCTGTATGCCGTGTTCTACAAGGCGTTTCTGGGGGTTGACAGGCACACACACACGACAATTACGATTGCCCGGCAGCATGCGATAGCGTGAGTACTTGTATACCCCACGCCGTTGGGTCAACAAGATTTATGGGAGGCTATGCCTCAAGATTGCACAGCTATTTTGAGGTCGCCAAATACGGTGATGCATCCAGTATTGTGCCTTGTCGGGGGTGCCGGTGCAGGTTGGTGGCGTTGCTACCGAAGGCATTCCCATCGCAGGCATCCCACTGGAAGCTCCCAAAGATACACATGATAAGACATTTGCTGGACAACGTGAAGGAGCGTGGGATGCCGCACCACTATTCAACCGAAATGTGGGAGCGCACGCACAAGGGCACGGTGAAGAGTCCAGTAAGAGGGAGCAATTGGAGCGACATACCTCGACTAATCGTGGAGGAGGAGGTGCAGCGCGAGGTGTACCGCGAGGTGGCGGCGGACGCTGGGGGTGGGCGACAGTACGCGTGCGCCTTGCGTGAGGTGTGTTAGGGGGTCTTGGCGACGATGATGCCCAGTGTTGGTAGTCCAAAGTACACCGTACACCGGGGTGGAGGCGTGATTCAAACACCGTGTGGTTCGTTGTGCGAATGCGTGTGGTACGTGCAGGCAATCTTGACGAAGAAACCGGTGCTCACGAAGAAGTATCGGACAATGCGGATTGGCGGAGCGTCGGATCCAGTGTACGATGAGTACATAACCGCGCTGGGAGACGATATGAAGGGTTTGGCTGACGAGTTTAAGGCGTTGGGTCTGGCTACCAACAGCGTGCAGGTGAAGTGATTACAAAGTGGCGGACATGTGACGTTTGTAGTCTTACATGATGGTGCTCACCGCACTCATGATGTGCACGTGTTGTTGGTTTGGTGGGGATGGGGTGACAGGTCCACACGGCGGTGGCCATTCCGCGCACAAGAGGCGGCGAGCTGGTGGCCAAAAGGACATTTGTGACGGCGTCGCCCCGAGAGAGGTGGTATTCGGACGTGGCGCTGCTCAATGACAAGGGTGGGGACTGGTATGCAAAATGTCTGTGCATTTTCAGGGCGGTTGACCGTGATGGGGATTGGAAGGGGTACGCATATGTGAGGTACTAAGAGAAGGCTGGGAGCTGCAACCTCACGGGATGTACGCAGCTGCACAAGACAGTGGAGGATGTGAGGTTCTCGGTGGTGGAGCTGAAAAGCCTGTAGAGAGTGGTGCACGTGTGCCCTTCGTACAGCAACAAAAAGGTGCAGCTAGTAAATAGGTTTCTACTATGCGAGTGACGCAATGCGTTTACAGACAGTGGTTGCAGCTCGGAATTTTAAACCATAAATCACTGCGTAGTGCGTTCTTTATGTGTAGAGGCGCGGTTGGATGGAACTTGTGTTATCCAGCGGTGATCTTATTATACACTCGTGCTAAGAAGATAAGACGTTCAATCAGGTATAGGTGTGCAGTATGGTGGTTAAGTTATGAATCGTATAATGCGTACGGGTACCCTTATTCCTTGCGCGGTCGGGGTTGCACAACCACAATGTGTGGTGGTGCACACTCGGGGTCTCAGGCAGTTGGTTGTTTGGATATGGGTGACGCGTACGTGGCATCGTGGGGGCGGGATGTCCTATGTGGGCGTTACAGGTGGTCGTATCAGAGGAGAGCGTTATCTCTGTGCGGCGCAGGGAATGTGGTCGGTTGGTTGTGTGGCCAATTTCAACTGCTGTACACGGTGTGCGTGCAGGGGCAAGCCGGGGGTACGTTACGGTCAAATGAAACGTATGTAGGAGGAGGTCGTGTGCACTTCAATGCATACTTGCATACCAGAGTGACAGTGTGTTACAATGGGTGACCTGAAGGCCCTGCTTGCTACCGCACATCCGGATGACGTGTTCTGCTTCCACGAGATTAATTTTCTTCCCAGCCGGCTGCCGAAGTCGTACATTCCGGATAAGCGCAATGTGGTGGAGCGTATCGTCAGCGTCGGCATCCTCTACAACGCGACGGGGAGTTGTTCCGCAGTGCCTCTGGTGGTGCTAGAGCCATCCAATTGGCCCGAGCGCCGGCGGGCGAGCGCCGCATCGCGCAAGGTGGCCGTTCGGTATAAGAACCGCGGGCGGTTGACGCCGGAGGTATGGATTGTGGACTTTGTGTGCATTTTTATGGTTGGACGTGCATAGCACGTGTGAGTACATCAGGAGCGCGTCCATCTCCGATGTATTTGCGTACCGCAAAGGCCGTTGGTGACGTGCTCGCTATGTTTGATTCACTGCACACAGGTATTCACGGAGTTTGTGGAGACCGTAAACGGTGTGCACTTCAGCCGTGATCGCAACACCATCATCCTCACCATTCACAAGGCGCATCGCATCACAGGCGAGGTGGCGCCGCCCGTCACGGAGCACGGCTTCAGTGTGCAGCACCTCACGAACACCCGAGTCGTCAACATTCGTGGATCGGTTCCGGAGACGGGCCTGCCGCACCTGCAGGGAGTGGGTGACGCGCTGAAGGCGTATTACCGCGTTATGCTGATGAGGCGTGCGATAGGGTCCAAGCGGTTCCAGTTCAACTATTCGGCTTCCATCGCTGATGTCGACCATAACGACATACTCGAGTGGCTGGGAGAAGCGTGGACTCGTGTGCACGCGGCTACCATGCAGCGGAGCTGGTGGAGCGCAGGATGCGTGCCGGTGAGCTGGCCGCCCCTGATGGCGTACCTGGGTGACACGTGCGCAACCGGCATGTTCGAGCCTATTATTTCGGTATGCGTCGATTTGCAGTTGCTTATCGAGAAGTTCAAGGTAAGGCCTGCGTGCTACATGACGGCCGCGGATTTTATCAACTGCGACGCGGGACTATGCGTGGAACAGGGGTTCAGAGCCACACCTGCTGCCAGCGCGTCCGATGACTCGTCGGGCGACATGAGCCTGCCAGACGGCCCATTGCTGCGGGACGAGCGCAGCAGGAGGCGCGTGATACGCAACGTCACAAACGCGTACGTGGAGCGTGCCGATGAGCTCGGCATCCCCCCGGCGGCTGTGCCAGCAGAGGTCGGAGCATCGAACCAGGAGGTGATTTCCCGCCTATGCAGGACGCCTGTCAAGAGGGCTCGCGCAGGGGGGCGAGCTGAGAACGGGACAGCCGAAGAAGTGCTGCAGAGTGATGAAGTGCTGGAGAGTGATGACGACCAGTGATGCGTCTGGCAGTAGTGGGGTTTGGTTGTGGGAGCTGACTGTGTGCGGTATCGTACGTAGGGGGGACGCATTGTTTATGTTGGTGTTGTGGTTGTTATTGTGTGTGCAATTTTATTTTGAGTTGATGGTGTAGTTTTGGCTAATGTGGATATGAGCACCCTAACAGTGCACACACATGTTGTATTTTGACGGAAACACCAGGTACATCATACTTATGTCGCGGATTTTGGTTCGAACGAAATGGGAGCCGCGAATGCGACTCGAGATGTAGGTGTGCGCTTCGAGTTTCCTACATGTTCGTGGAAAAGTTACCGCCAAGTCACTTTTGTGTGTACGATGAAGATGTGCGTTTCTGATGTGCAAAAATTTGCGATTCGGGTGCGGTGTTTTTATGCAGCTTTCCGCAACTTTCTCGCAAGGCCAACGCAGAAAAACCTTCGGGGGCAAAAAATCGCAGCTTTCCTTTTTCGCGATGTCGCCTTTCCTCCCCCTCCCACCGCGCATGGCACGCCAGCACCAACATGCGTTTCAAGCAGCTCTGCTTGCGTCCACCCCCACGCCCCCCCACTCGGTCCCCTTCGCGCCCTCTCTCTCGACCTTTGAACGAGCTCTTCCCCCTTTCCTCTCCACCCACCGTCCCCTTCGGTTTTTTTGCCGCTTTATCGTCAACTACTGCCGTTTACCCGCCCTCGACTGTCGCTCTCTCGTCGCAGTCCGTCCCGGTTCGTAGCTTACGCGCCGCAGTCTGTCGCTCTCTCATCGCCGCGCGCCGCGCTGTGTTGTTGCCAGTCTGCCGCTCTGACACAGTAGCGTTTGCGCCACTACTTGACGGCCCAAAACGTCCTTCGACTGCCAATGTAAGCACCACTGTAATATGATGTCTCTCAACGAATGTCAGGCTTGCGGCTGTTTGCACACCCCCCTTTTCTGATGCTCCTCGCGCCCCTGCCGTCTCGGCTCTCCACCATCGCGAATCAGCTTTTCTCGCTCTCATCGACGCTTCGACGCGACCACTATCGAGTAATTATTTGTCGCTCTTTCATCGCAGTGGGTGCTAGATCCTGTAGAAGTACACAGCACCTCGCGTGTGGGTGATTATTACTCTTTTGTCACTGACGGTTGCTGTGCATTCCAACAGAATCTAGCACGCGGCCCGTGTTGCCAAATGGCTGCCTGACGCAATCTTCGCTATTTCTAGGTACGTGACTTGTTCTGCTACGATCCAGAAACAAACTCAACTGAATGTCCAACGAATGTCTAGAACACGGGTAAATTAGGTAGAGTCGAACTAGGCAAAGAATTCGGGGTACAAGGCTCGGAACTGGCGAAGGTGCGGGGCGGCTCGTAAGTGGTTCGGGCCGGGTGTGTATGCCTGTTACGAGTGCAATTGAGTGAACAAACGAGAATTGCACTATCGAAGCAAGAGTCCAATGAGCGAAGGCATGAGCGAATAATATATAGCGAAACTACAGCGGTAACGGTAATGGACTGTGGTTGTCGCGCGACGGGCCTGGGACTGAGGTTTGGGAAAAAGTGTCGAAGCGGAGGCCCGGAGCGCGGGTTACCCGCCGAGCCGTGAGGTCGGGGTGCGACGTGCGAAGGTGGCGGGCGGATTGTCGATGCGAGGATTGCGAGTGGTAACGGTGCTGACTGTGGTGCTACAGTGATGTACGCGTTGAGCAGGGATGCGAAGTAAGGAAAAGGGATTTTCCTTACACTACCCCCCCCCCCCTTAAGGAGGTCCTCCTTACGAAAGTGCGTGTACATCCCTGAAATTTCGGCTGCGCAGATACTCGGTGAGGACTGGGTGGTTTTCGATTCTGTCCAGGGGAACCCAATTGTCTTCGGTGGGTGTACGGTCCTTCCAGCGGAGTAAGAACTCGATCCTTCGGGCTCCTCGAGGGTCACGAACTCTGTGGCTCAGGATTTTTTCGGGGGTGATGATTGGTTCAGTCGGCGGTCGTGTCATGCTGGCTGGGCGATTGCGTGGGAGTTGACTTGTGGACGGGACGTAGGGGCGAAGCAGGCTGACGTGGAACGAGGGGCTGACGTACCAGTCAGCAGGGAGGAGGAGGTGAGCGGTGACGGATGTTATCATGTGGCTTATGCGAAATGGCCCGCAGTATCGGGGGCGGAGTTTCGGGGTGATGGGCAGTCGGAGGTTCTGGGTGTCAAGTAAAACTAAGTCGTCGGGCTGGTAAGTGACAGGTCTGCGGTGGCGGTCGGCGTTGCGTTTAGTGATGATGTTCGATTTTTTTATTGCGGCTGCTGCCCGGGTCCGTGCTGCTTGTAATATTTCGGCGAACTGTTGTGCTCGTGGTACTGGGTTGTCGGGATTCGGGGTCATGGGTACTGTCGGGTCTTGTCCGTAGTTTAGGTAAAATGGTGACTGTTGGGTCGTGGCGGATGGCGAGTTGTTGTACGCGAATTCGATTAGTGGCAGTTGCTGTTCCCACGTGGTCGGGTCGTCACACGTGGCCCTGATGAGCTGTTCCATGGTCTGATTTGTTCGTTCTGTCTGTCCGTCGGTTTCGAGGTGGTATGATGAGCTGAACTGCAGTCGCGTGCCGAACTGCTGCCACAGGTTCCGCCAGAAGTTGCTGGTGAATTTCGTGTCGCGGTCGCTGATGATCGCGGCTGGTATCCCGTGCAGTCGAACGACGGTGGAGATGAAGAGGCGTGCTGTTTCTTCGGCTGTGATTGATCTTTTGCAGGCTGCGAAATGTGCCATTTTCGTCAGTCGATCGACGACGACCAGGATCGCGTCGTTCCCACTCGCCCCGGCTGGTAACCCCGTGACGAAGTCCATCGTCACCTGCTGCCAAGCACGCTCTGGGGGTGGTATCGGCTGCAACTGTCCCGCTGGCCGCTGTCGTGATGATTTCATGAGCTGACAAGTGGGACACGATGCGGCATGTCGTTGTACGTCGGTCAACATTTCGGGCCAGTAATAATACCGCTGCAGCTGCTGCCGTGTTTTTTCTACTTCGAAATGCCCCGAGGTAACTCCGTCGTGTGCCTCCTGTAACAGTAATTCCCGTAGCAGTGTATACCCAGGCACCCAAATGCGGTCAGTCCCGGTTTTTACGTAATAGACTCCTCTTGCGGCGAGTAGTATTGCGTGGATCTGGGCAGTGGGGCGGGTCAGTGCGTCGGCGATGTTCGAGGCTCCCTTTTTGTAAGTGACCGTGTAGTGAAAATTGGACTCGAGGAAATCGAGCCAGCGAATCTGTCGTGGGTTGAGGTGTGGCTGTGCGCGAAGGTTCTGTAGTGATTTATGGTCTGCCCGTACTGTCACGTCCACGCCAGTCAAGTAACAGCGCCATACTTTGAACGCGTGCACGATCGCAAGCATTTCGCAGTCGTGTATCGGGTAATTTTTCTCAGGCGGATGCAGTTTTCGTGACTCGTATGCGATAGGCTGTAGGCCATTGCCGAAATCCTGTAGCAGTACAGTTCCGATGGCGATATCGCTTGCGTCGGTAACTACTTCGAATGGGCGGTGTGGGTCGGCGATGCGTAGGATGGGCGGCGAACAGAGAACATCTTTCAGGGCAGAGAAGGCACCATGCTCTTTCTCCACCCACGTAAAAGCGACCCCCTTCCGTAGTAAGTCCGTCAGTGGGGCAGTTAACCGTGCTATATCGGGGACGAACCGACGCACATAATTAACGAACCCTAAAAAACTCTGCAGCTCCGTGGTGTTCATCGGGGGATGCTGTGAAGATAAGCAGTAGAAGAAGGCGCCATAGCTAGGAAAGCCCTAGCTAGGCAAGAAACAGTTTAGGCAAAGAGGGGGTTCACTAGCAGGAATGAGGATACAAATAGCAAACCCTAGAAGGGTTGTACTCGCTATAGAGCACCCCACTACAGGCTAGAGCATAACATTCTGACACACCCCCATATCCAAAGTGGGGTGTAATCAGCAGAGCAAGCAAAGCAGAACAAGCTCAAGGTGGATCACAATGTCACCACACATTCTGAGCACAAGTACAAGAAGCAATAGTTTAAAGTTCACAATTATGAGCAAAGCTAGAGGCTATCGCAGAGGGCAAGTGAGGAGGAGGAGGCGAGACTGTAAGAGGAGAGGAGATAGGAGGCGACGACTGAAGCTGCAGACACACGGGCAACAGGAGGCACACTGGCACAGCGGCTACCGGAACAGCGCTCCGGACTACTGGAGTAACTGGCCCCGCGGCTAAAAGTAGCGGCAGACGAGCAACGGACCCACTGGCGACTGGCACAGGTGGCTGCGACTGGGCTACCGGAGCAACTCCCCGGACTACAGGTGCTGCTGGCGACACGACGGCAACCTTCGTTCAACCTCCCCAAACAGTCCCACCCCCCCTGACACACACCCCCTGCTTCACCCCTAGCTCCACTCCCCCTTCACCCCCCTTAGTACCACTCCGACGGCTCCAACAGGTCCACCCCCCTCAGCGGCAGCTGCAGCACTGGGAGACGGAGGAGGAGGAGGAGCAGGGGACGGCACACAGAAGCTGCACCCCCATGCCCCCCACCCCCAAACCCTAATTCAGGAGAACGGGCAGTAGCAGGGGTGGGGCGCCATCAGAAGCACGGGGGACAGCGGGCAGCGCAGGGGCAGCGAAGAACGGGCCGCCCACGGGCCTGGCACAGCCGCCCGAACCGCGCGCAGGCGGCCCGAGCCGCGCGCGGGCCTGGCGCAGCCCGTACGGGCCGCGCGCGGGCCTGGCGCAGCCCGTACGGGCCGCGCGCAGGCCTGATGCAGCCCGTACGGGCCGCGCGCGGGCCTGGCGCAGCCCGTACTGGCCGCGCGCGGGCCTGTGCGCAGCCCGTACGGGCCGCGCACAGGCCACGACGGGTGACGGGGGGCGACGCGCGGGTCCCCGTCGCCCGTCGCAGCGCCTCCCGGGAGCGACGCGCTGCGTGGCGGGGCAGAAACCCGCCGCGCGCCTCGGGGCGCACGGCGGGCAGAGAACCGCCGCGCGCCTCGGGGCGCACGGCGGGCAGAAAACCGC